TCCACGTCATCAAAATTGTTTGAAATGACCGTCACATGCCCACTCCAACGATTTCTGCAGGGCGCTTTTCAACCAACTGTCTGCAAGCCTGCCAGAGTTGTGCATGACCGACGCAGGTGCACATTTCTGCGCAGTGTTTTTGGTTGGCTAGACCGACATAACCTGAGTCAGTGTTTTTTTTAGGGCAGGCTATCATAGTTGGCGGTTCGCTAGGCAGAATCGCAGTTTCTGCTGCGTTCCAAGGTTTCCATTTATCGGAACTTCAAGGTCGACATCTCTCCAAAATATCAGATATCGGAACGCGAGCAGAAGTCACGTGGCAGCGCGTAACGCAGCGGAACGTTGCCATGACAAGTCATGCACTGCTGACGAACGTGCAGCTAAATGAGTCCAGGGCAGCAGAAGACACTTTTATGAGGAGTCATTGTCATATGTTGGAAATGCACTTAAAACAAAGAACTCGAAAGATTCGAAGAATCTACGGGAACACAGAAGGAAGACACTTTCCGGTGGATATGCAGCCAGAACTGTGCGAGAGCGAGCGGCTCAGCAAGAGACCCCGTCAACGAACCGTACCGCGATATGGACAGCCAGTTCAGTTAATGACAGCCCACCATCAGTGTCACCAGGTTTGGGGCCGTACGGGCCCAAAAGTGAACTGAAGTGAAGCTGCATGCCGACTGAGGCGATTTCTCGGCCGTCCTCATTGTACTGACTCAACGAAAACAATGACCCCACAGAAGAAACGTGATAATTGTGACCAGACAATCATTGGCCGGGGTTTTGGATGGTTAGCGTGACCCTACATATCACAAACGTTCAACCAATCCACTTTGTGGCACCTGGACGCATCAAGATCAAGGTGTATAGCATCGTTTGGTAAGTATTATCATCATATCGCATAGCACAAAAGTCGACGCGTAGGCAAAACGATTCCTTTAGGCGGGACCATACGCAATTAATTTGCATCATCCTGCCATCATCTAAGGGTGAAGGACTGGAGATGCAGCGACACACGACGCGGCGCGTTTGAAGTCTTTACTTCACCAATGATTAATGAGGTACAATGATTTAAAGGATCCAGGAAGCGGTAACATGCGGGAAAAGTCGTATAAAATATCACACTCTCCGAACCACTTTATCCTATCGCCACAGAGCTGGCTGCAGGCCTCAAGGCAGCAACGCATCTCTCTAACCACTGTCGGCGTCATCACCAAATCAACGCGGCATGAGGGCACACCCTCCAGTGCCTTGCTCTCCTCCGCCGGCGGCGTGGCCCGGCCCGGCAGAGGCCGAGTCGGCACCCTCCCCGGCTGGGCCGCGGCGTGACCCGAGCCGCCGACCGAGGCGGAACACGTAACCCGGCCGGCGACCGCGCCGCCGCATAGAAAGCTAGCGGCACTCACCGGGAGCCGTCGACGGCGGCTGGGTCACGGGCGCCGCGTGGCGGCGGGGGTAGGGGAGGGGGGCGTGATTTGACGCCGGAAACTGATACTCCGAGAGGTGACGACAGAGCGCGATGCTGAGACAGGACCCAGATAGATGACATGGGGACGTGACAAAGTGACATGACGCTGACATTTGGGACCGGAACGAGCGGCGTGCACGCGGCACCCGGTTTCTACCTGTGACGTCATCTGGCGGGTGACATGGTCGAGTAAACTAAGTACGTCACGTCATGCAAAGCGTGTTGCAATGACGCTGATTGGGTTACATTCAGATCGATTACTGTATTTTACATGACAAATTGCGAGCATGATATGGCATTTGAGCATGAGATGGCACATCACATCGACAGACATTTTAAATTTACATTAAGAGTTGATAAAAAGCTATCCCACATGTCATCACATTGTATAAAAAATACTTCGGACAACACGTCAAAAGGGGATCCTTTGAGTCAATTCCCGATTCCTCTAATGAGTCACATTCAACGGGAAATGTATCACCGCAAACCAACCAAACTCGGCCAAACTTGGCTCTATCGACTGCTGATGGTTGATACTCTATGTGACCGACCGTGTAAGAAATCTCGAACAGCCGTGAGAATCCTGCCCCAATTCAGCGAGCGTTTTCACTCCGGCGCGTGAAATACGACGCGACAGACTCGGCCCCGTAATGAAGAAATGATGGCCTGGCGCAGAGACGGCGCTTGGATGCCCAGCACATCGAAAGGTCCGGACAGTTCTCCCCCCGTGCGCAGAAATACGGACGGTAGCTTCCCTGGGCTGAAATTCAGGGCGCGCTATCCACATAACATGAAATCCTGAAGCGGTGACCTGCGCCGCACGCTACATCAGCGTTCAGTTATGCATGAACTATCGACGCTTAGACCCACATACAGTGCACATTACTAAGACAGGTAGCTGCAGACCTTTCCATCCGCATGCATGCCCCTGGAGCAGCATCCAACCTCCCCTGACCTGAAAAGGCCAGTCATAATGGCACGAGGCCGCATTTGACGGCTATCGGTCGACAGCGCACGTTTTCGCGAGCTCATTATCACGACACAAAAATAAGACGTCCACCTTTCCCTGTCCATTGTGAGCCCAATGGGGCGTGGCCGGCGGCGGCAGCGGGCGAGCGCACGCGCCGTCCTCTGCGCCGCGCCTGCTGGCCCCAGCACAGAGCCCAGCAGTCCGTGCAGGGGGCGGAACAGGCCAGGCTGCGAAACGCTGGCAGCCAGCGAGACCACTGTCCGGCTAGCCTTTCTGTGAAGCCGTGACCAGTCGCCACAGCTATCCGGCCCTGGCAAGACAATGCCAGCGCACGGTCGTTACCAGACAGCACTGCTGCAGCCGGTCTAATTGTCCAGACAAGTGCGTCATTCCGCCGGGACACGGCTGCTGTCTGACGCTGCCGTCTCTCCGGCTGCGACCAGGCAAAACTGCTCGTGGGGCGGCGAACAGTCCGGAATTCCCTAATGAACAGTGATCACGCTACTGTCCGGCTGTCTGCCCGTCTGTTCAGCCGTGATCAGACAAGTCTCCTGTCCGGCCGGTGACAAGCCTCCTATCTGGCCCGTGACCAGTCTCCCGCCCGGCCCGTGACCAGTCTCCTGTCCGGCCCGTGACCAGTCTCCTGTTCGTCCCCTGACCAGTCTCCTGTCCGGCCCGTGACCAGTCTCCCGCCCGGCCCGTGACCAGTCTCCTGTCCGGCCCGTGACCAGTCTCCCGCCCGGCCCGTGACAAGTCTCCTGTCCGGCCCGTGACCAGTCTCTTGTTGGGCCCGTGACCAGTCTCCTGTCCGGCCCGTGACCAGTCTCTTGTTGGGCCCGTGACCAGTCTCCTGTAGGGCCCGTGACCAGTCTCCTGTACGGCCGGTGACAAGTCTCCTGTTGGGCCCGTGACCAGTCTCCTGTCCGGCCTGTGTGCCCGCTCGTCCGTGACCGGAGTCTCAGCCCGGCGGCCGGCGCAGATCGCGGCCCGGAACGAGAACAGAGTCGGGCTTTCGCCGCTCGCCGGCCGGAGATGAGCCGGCGGCGGCTGACGTCCCGCCGCCGGCGCGGCCGCCCCGGACGGGCGATGGGCTACCCGTAAACAGGGGCGACAGAGCGACCCGCCTGGTGAAAAGCCGCCGCGGACAGCGGGCTGGACTGGCGGGGCGCCGGCTGGAGCCGGGGAAACTATATACCAGTCTGCATGCTAGCTACGCGTGGAAGCTCAGATTGGAGGATGCTCGCGATATCTGTTCACGTTTCTGGTGAAGCGTGAGCGTAAGAACCAAACGCTCGAGTCCCTACGTGGGGATGCTGCACCCAGCGTAAGTGTCTTAGGCTAACCGACGCGAGAGCACACATCTAGCACCGTGCATGCGCGAACACATTGGCAGCTGATACTTTTTCGCGACATGTACGTGCAAAACCGTCCTGGACATCACACGCAGTGGTCAGAAATAAGCCAGTTTGGAAAGACATGCATACACTTGAGCACTCTCCCGGCACCAGGTAAGTGCTCCGCTCCCGTTTGAAAGTAAACACGTCCATTCGCGCTCGTCTAGCGGTCACCCCTCACGAGAGAAGCGGGGCTCATATCAGCCGACTCTAATGAAGTCGCTAATCTGGTAATCTCGGCGGGCCTCTGAGTATGGCCAGGTTTCCCTGACAGCGAGAGTCGGTCTCCGGTGGTGTCTCAGACCGCCGCCGGCGGCCCTCGTCACTCAAACTTTCTTTTCTTCCCGCATATTTGCCCGAGCACGCTCGCAGGAGCGCCTCCGCGGCCGCCGGTATCCATGGCAACCACAAAACACTCCCGGAAGTGTATTGGGTAAGAATTAAGACAAAAGTTTGATATCAGGATGATAGTGGTTGGAAGCTTAAGCAACTTTATGCACTTGCTAGGATGCTTTACAGTAAGCTTAACCACTCAGCAACATTGAGAGCTTATGTAACGGAGACAAGTGACACTTGCGCTCACAGCAACTGATATGATAAAGCTGTCATTGGGGAAAAAACCGTGTAGAATATCTTTGCAAGAATACACGATCTATACACTTAACAAATCGCAATCCCACAAAATTATCATCTAAAGAAATTACCGGAATGTTTGAATGGGGATCCTTTGTGATCCCTAGTTTTTACAAAGCATAATGTGGTGCGAAAACGGTTATTATATTGCTGCGAAGCAGGTATTTGCTGCCCATTTCATCGGACATGCTCCGTTTCGCCCTTTCCCCAGACGGTAATAAACGTCTTTAGTGCAGTACTATGGCACGCAACGTCCTTAAGCGGGCCCCCTAAGCCAACATGACCCGCTTGGCTAAGTGCCAACCAGCCTTCTTTGACTGCGCAGCGCAATCTTGTGACGCCAGCCCACAGTCCGCCAGGCAGTAGACAGATGTCTGACCCTTGACTGTCTGAGTCACGACTGGAAATGCGCCGTAAAGTACACCAACACGGAGAGGAATGTGCCAAGTGCACGGCCTTGGCCTGCTGAGCTCAGCGCCCAGTGCATTGGTGACGCTGGCCTCGCCGTCTCAGCAGCCGCGGAACTACCGCTCACCTTGTTCGTCCTCATGCTGAGGACTCAGCAGTGCGGCTGCGGGCCGCCCGTCCTCCGGGTCCTGCTGACGTGCTGTGGCGCGGCTGTGTGTCCTCCTGACTGACCGCACTCCGGGCGTACCTCAGCGCTCGCCGCGTGCCGAGAAACTGACCGGCCGGCGCGCGACGGGCGACTACTTTCACTACCGCCTCCCCTGCCCCGGCCCCTCCCCCGCCACCGCCGCCGCCGCCGCCGCCGCCGCCGCCGCCGCCGCCGCCACCGGCGCCGGCCGGCTCCGCCCTCCCCCCCCCCCGTGTCTTCCACCCCCAGGCCCGCCCCGGGCCCCACCCATCTGACTAACGGCGGCGAGACGACTTTGTTGGGTGAGTGGGCGAAGTTGGACTTCTTAAGCCACTTCTTTTGATACTGTGACATATGGATACCGTATTGGCTCTGAGCGAAACAAGATGGAACAACGTTAGGGGGACAGCTGCTCCTGTGCCGTCTCGTCCCATCCCTAATCCGCCGCTTTTGCATACCACGACATAGGGGACTGAGCTGTTGCACAGACACGGTTTTCAAAAACTGGTGGTGGCATCGTGCATATTTTAAATCCTTCAGTTTGCTGCTTGGTCCGGTGGGTCCCAAATTTACGCTACCGATCCAACAGTTAGGAATGTGAGCTCCCTGTACGTGACAGCCCCCTAAATTTCATGCTGTGCAGTAACGGCAAACCAGACTGCTTCAGTGCACCTTTGGTACCACTGGTAATAAAGTACCTTCGAATAACCCTTGGACTCCCTCAGGGGGAAGATATCGAATGTGTATTTCTATCAAACACACTTTAGCTAATAGCCTCTGCGCATCACTTTTTAGGTTGTTGGTGCACAAGTCACGCTGTGGGTTCCCATTAGCACCCCTGAGCTGGTCCTGTTGTAGGGGAGACGGCGCAGCGACGCGCGGGTAAATGGGGCCAGGGGGACCAGGGAAACACCAGGTGCCTCCTTTACGCTCAGTCAAAAAAAAAAAAAACTCGCGGAAATGACCGAAGTCATGAGGAGAAGAAAGGAAACGACAAATTACCGCGGTAGATTTAGGCGAGAAAGTACTGCCGTTCAATCTCTAAATCAAATGACCCAGGCTTTGGCAAACGTCCTGGGGGTCGTGCTGCCAGCTGAAAGAGGACGTGTGGCTGGAGAAGTGCCAACTCATGAATGGTCACACGGTTACAACCTCGGCGTCTGTTCCAAACGTCACTCGGCACCCCTGCAGGTCTTACAGAGAAAAGGCAAGCGGCCTGAGTTGACGAGAATGGCTCTACCAATAGCGGATGATGACGGCATGTGCCTACGCGTAGCGGTCATCCTCAGCATGTGGTGAAGCCGCGGTTGGTGGACAGCGCATTCTGCACAGTCACGACTCTGGCGTATGCATCTGGTTACTGAAGGGACGCCACTCAAAAATTGTGTATCCAGATTCGTGTCTATAGACACCATCCACACACCACTTTGTTTTCGCATGGTTTCCTATATAAACTTGATCACTACCCCTTGGGGGAGGGTGGGGTGGGGGGTGGGGGGTGCGGGGTGGGGGGTGGGGGGAGCGTAATGGCCGAGTGGTTAGTATCCTGGACTCCCAAATTGGGGGCCCAGCTCCGAATCACGGTTGCACCTGGCCCCTGAGCCCTAATATGGCCAATGCAGTCGCCGGTGCACGATGGAAAGGGCGTGACGACGCGCGTCGAATTCCCTTCTTAAAATAAAGAAATGATAACTTGTGCTTCCAAATATCATCAGGTTCCAAAATTTCTTGATGCATACGACATGTCTCCATTACACGGGCCTGCAAATGACGCATCAAGCTCATGCACATCAAGCATTGCGCTTAGAAACGAACGGCGATCCGGGCCAACTCACCGGGAATATTGAGCAAAAAAGGGAGGCTAGACAGCACATGTGGCAGCATCATATACAAATTTACTGAATGCGCTAGATCTTCATGACTTCAGGACTTCATGACTCCATGACATTATCAAGGATGGAATAATGTTGGTGACTTGTGCAAAAAAGTGTTGCTCTCTTCGTCAAATTTAGTCCGAAATACTGCTTTACATTGTCCACAATGTCGTTTTCATGTCGTCATTTCTGATTATCCGTTCCCGAAATCGTGCGAAGCCATAAGCGGACAACCGAAAGATGCCAAGGCAGACAAGTAAAGCAGGCAAGCGACGAGACAAAAAGACAAGACAAAAAGACAAGACAAGAAGACGAGACCAGAAGGTAGGATAAGAAGACACAACAAGAAGACGAGACGACGAGTCGAGACAACAAAACAAGACAACAGAACAAGGCAACACAACAAGACAGACCAGACACACAGAGAGCTATATATACACCCAAATACAATGGTTTACAACTGCGTTGTTTTGTTTCCAAATATGTAATGCATTTGACATGAACTATCCACGCCACCATGGTATCGTGAGGGTGTACTGAACATCGACGAACAGAAGGCCGGAATA